ATGCCCTGACTTAGATCAGCCCAGAGGTTGCTTCAGGGTTCGACCTGTGATTTGGCTGTGCCCTTACTTAGATCAGCCCAGAGGGACTGTACCAGTAATCAAGCTACTTACTGAGCCTCGTGTCTAGCTATTCGTTGGTCCATATTCGTTTGATCTTCGGATTTCTTTTCTTGTTCTTGTCGAGGTGAAAGTAACTTAACCAGAAAATCAACGATCTTAAAACAACAATACGAAGAAATAAGTTATGGATATCTTGCGTGAAAGACGGCACATTTTACTGAAGAACCTGAGGCACAGTAAGGTCACTTAGATCGATCTGCCCATAGTGTGACGAAATACAGGGCAAACTGGTATATACTCCACCTTGTTTTTTAGGTTTTTKGGTCTGTTTGGATGCTCTACGTATTCCATGATTTGTGCCTTGCTCAGTATAAACGTTGGCAGAGCTCGTTCCAATTGAGATAAATGCTCAACCTGAAATGAAAAAAACATCACAGCTAATAGATGATATATTCCCTTTGACAAACTAGGTACATGGCTGGGAGACTGGGAAAACCCATTGGGTAGACAGGTACCGTGCCACAGATGAGTACCCAACCAACACTAGTTTCTCTCTGGGGCTATTGCGTGTTTAAGTGTTATTTTGTTATGTACCTGACTGGTGTATCTCTCCATGGCCGCCGTCTTGCGAATACTGTCAATATCACCAACAGCTAAACCAATCTATAGAATAACATACATATTAGGGCAAACARACAGACAGACAGACAGACTGGGAAAACTGCTGCAATGGTGGTTGGTTCGCTATTGTCTGAGTCGTATATGAATAGCTGCGTATACTCACCAGAAGATTAAGGAAAATGATTGGCATCATAAAACAGTAAGCAATGAATAATCCATAGAGTACAAATCCATTCCCCTTAGACGAATCCCCACCGTTGCTGTAGTAGTTCAGAACGATCTCTTCGTATCGCAGGTTGTCCAACATCATAAAGAATGTTGCGGCAAGTGATGTCGGTATGTTACCAAATCGTGTTTTAGACTGAGGAAAAGAACAACCGTTTGTTACCTTACGATAATATGCGAGTTGCGTTTGTTTGACGAGGGTCCTGAAGGGGTAAAATGAAAGCTGTGAAATGGGTTTCACAAACAAAAAGCAATTAAAAAATGGGAATGGGATTGAGATTTGAGCAAAACATAGGCTGGGA